TGTAGCCGGATGCATGGCCGACGGCTAGGGATCTGGAAATTTGCGCATTAATGGTAGGATTTTCCTCAACAATCTCTGCTAGCCTGCCCTCTCCACTTCCTCAATAATCTCTGCAACTCACTTTCCATCCTGGTTGAACGTGACGGAGGCGAGGTCGGCGATCTCGTCGGCGCCCATATCTGCTGCTACAAAAGATGCCATTTCCGGGGGGCGACAACGTTTTTAGGAATATTTCGGAAAGGGTTAAGCGTAAAAAATGATGCTTTCACTATCTGCCCGGCAATATTTAACGCAAGAAAAATTGGAGAGGCTTGTGCAACACATTGCGAAATTTCTACCGGGGCGCCCGTTCAAAAACTGGCACACTTTTCGGCAAGAATTCCGGCTTTCTAAATGCTAGGCCGTAAGGAAAAGAAAACAAACAAACAATCAATCTTGTAACCTTCCTAGACGTCCCTAAACCTGATTTTAGTTGCGTAATCGATTGACCTAAACTTCAACCTTTCCCAAAATGTTTCTGCTAGCCTGCCAAATTAGATTTTTTTCGAGACGGAGCCTCGATTTTGGTCAATTTTTACGGTTTTCGGGGCCGATTTACTTTTTCTAGGCTCAAAAAATCCAAAAAAATATTTGGACACTTTTTAACAGGAAAATATCGCAAAAAAAGGTTGAGTACTGTTTTAAAAGCTAGCTATTAAAATTTACCGGTTTTTTTTCAAGTTTCCGGGTTTTAAACTTTATTTTCCAGGCGTAAAAAAGATATTTAGCCAATGAAAAAGCGTATGTATATCAAAGTAATACCAAATTAAACAATTACTTGTATTTAAATTCTATCAAAATAAAAGAAAATCGATTTTCCGCCACTTTCTCGCTGGTGGTAGCCAAAAACAAGGGTAAAATCGTTGATTTTTTATAGTTTTCTGGGTGTATAGTTTCTGGAAGATGGAAAAGGCATGGAAATTGCAAAAATGGATCTAATAAATGTATTTAAAGCACTTAAACAATACTGAAACTCGATTTTTCGCCAATTTCTGGATTCTCAAAGCTAAGAAAAGTGCCTAAAGGCCGGATTCTTACGCTATGTGGGCCTAAAAAGGCTATTTTAATGGAGACGATGGGTGGATAATGTAAAACTGTATCTAATGATTGTATTTAAATAATATAAAAATAATGGAACACGATTTTTCGTCATTTTTAATTCGGGAAGTTATGGAAAGTGTATAAAAGCCGGATTTTACGCTTTCGTGGGCTTAAACGAGTTATTTAAATTGTATAAATGGCGAAATACTGTAACAACTAATCTAATAAATGTAATTAAATAATAGTTAAAATGCTCTACATCGAGGTGTGGCCATTATTTGAATATCGAGCCGGGCCCCCGGGCGGCATGGTGTCAGCTGATCGAAGAGGGCTTGCGCGAGGGTCCCCCTCTGCCATGGGCGCACAAAAATTTGGGCGGAGCCTGGCGGAACACAAGCCGCAAACAAGTCGCAGAAGCTTGGCTTTAAAAAAGGCCTATAAGATGGCTTAAATTTTCCAAAAGTACTTGAAATCTTGAGGCTATACTCCGAAAATGAAGCCGCTGAAGCCGGAGAAGCTCGCCTTTAAGAGGCTGATAAGCATGCTTAACTTGGCGGAAATAACCTAAAATTTTGAGGCTAATGCCCGGAAGTGAAGTTTTTAACACGCTTAACAGTCTGTTCAAAAGTATTTAAAATCTGGAGGCTATCCTAGGAAACGAAGCCGGTTAAGTCGGAGAAGTTCGACTTCAGAAAAAAGCCTTCTAAGCTTGCTTAACTTGTCCGAAAGTACTTAAAACTTTGAAGCTATACTCCGGAAACGAAGCCGGTTAAGCCGGACAAGCTCGGCTTGGGAAAAAGGGCTTTGAAACTTGCTTATGTTGTCAGGCTCTTAATTCTAAATTTAAGACTTAGACTGAGCCATTGAAGCTCAAAGCCTAGCTCAGGATTAGGAGACTTGGGTGACTTAGGAGGCTTGGGAGGATTAGGCTTAGCTTAGGTTTAGCTTACACTTGGCTTAGGCTTGCCGTAGGCTTAGCTTAGGCTTAGTTTAGGCCTAGGTTAAGTTTAACTTAGGCTTAGCTTGGGCTTACTTAGGCTGAGGGTTAGGCTTGGGAGGCTTGGGAGTCTTAGGAGGCTTAGGAGGCTTAGGAGGCTTAGCGGCTTAGCAGGCTTAGGAGGCTTAGGAGACTTTGGAGGCCTATGAGGCTTAGCAGGCTTAGAGGCTTAGACTTAACTTACGCAACAAAGCTACTTACTAATCGGACTTCTCGCGGGTAGTGCCATATATTCCTGCAACGGGTTGAGGACGTTCTGGCGTAGATAAGCGGCTGGGTAGAGGAGCTCTTGGCTGAGTTGGGATAGCATCACCCAGTGATTTGCATACGAGTCAAATGACAAGGGGGGCAGAAGTGGTCATCGTCGTGTATCTGGGTCAATATTGGGCGCGCGGGCCTCTCAAATGCCCTCGGGCTATCATCCCGAAGATCGAGCATTTATGACGTGAGAATGGGCAGATGCTTCTAGTTTTTCTAGAAAAAGGTAGTCGTTCAAAATGGCACTTTGGCATTAACGGGAGGAGGGTCAAGGGGGAAAACCCACTTTTTAGTATCCATTTTTCTAATATCAATAGCTGAAGTGCTTATAAACTTTTTTTACTATTTTTACTGTTCTTAAGCGTAAGAATTTCACCGATCTTTAATATAAAATCGAAAAATATAGATTTTTCGACCAAAAACTGCCATTTTTTACCAAAATTTCGAATTTTTGGAAGTTTTTAGAGTTTATTCTAGTGAAAATAAAGTGTTATTTTATGAAAAACTTTCAACAATAATTCCTATTAAAATCCCCCCCGATAAGGCAAAAGATCCTATACAATAATTCAAAAAAATGTAAGTTTTTCGACCAACATTTTGAATTTTATCTTTGAAGCTTTTTTGGCTGTTGTTTTCATGAAATACTGTTAAATTTGAATCAAGGGGTATAAAAATATTTGATATTACGTGAAAAGGTTTTTCCGAACTTGTTAGTATCAAACTGAGCCCCCCCGATAATGCGAGAGTACACCAAAAATGGTGATTTCTTGAAAATTCTGTAGTCTTTGGCAACATACAAAAATCTGTAGTTTGTAGTTAGCATACGAGAACGGCCGAATTCCGGCACACAGGGTGATTTGCGTCCGAAATTCACTATGAAAAAACGGGCCGCGTGGGTTTTTCTGTGATTTGGCGCTTTTCTGAGGGATGTCCGCCCGGTTGCTTCACCGGACTGTGGGTTTTTTTTCATTAATGCGGTGGCTTGATGCAAATTACACAATTTTGGACATGCTATGGTAATTCTTCGCAGAAGCGAAAGGAGCAGCAGGCCGGCCAGGGGCCGCTCGAGGACAGCGACGAGCCGACGCCGCCGAAGAATGAAGCAGGAGGTACTGTAGCCTAAGCATAAGCCTAAGCTAAGCCTAAGCTAAGCCTAAGCTAAGCCTAAGCTAAGCCTAAGCTAAGCCTAAGCTAAACCAAGCCTAAGCTTGCTCATTTAGAAAACGCGCCCAAGCGAGACGAGCGTCAGAAGTCGCCGCCGCTGAAGTCGTGCTATGGCGCAGGTTCGACTTCCTAAAGCATCTCTGCTAACCTGCCTCCCCTTCCAGCGCCCACCATCGGCTCCGCCGAGCCCCAGAGCCCGGCCCGAAAAATCCGTGAGCAAACCGCCCCCCAGCGGAAGGGGCTGTCGACCGAGAAGCCGTCGCGTGAGATCCTCCCCAGCATCATGCAGCCCATCTCATTGTGGGTAGCCGCCTGGCCTGCTGTCACCATGCCTTTAAAATTTTTGAGAGACGAATTTTTCAGGAACCCCAGCAAGTACATGCCGAACCCGATGCCGCAGCTGAAACACCCCACCCGACGGGTCGACAACAACAACCCGGGGCTCTTCCAGGCTTTTCAGGTAGTTTGCCTTTGCTAGATTGCCCTCTACCGTTTCTCAACAATCTCTGCTAGCCTGCCCTCTCCTCTTCCTCAACAATCTCTGCTAGCCTTCCCTCTCCTCTTCCTCAACAATCTCTGCTAGCCTGCCCTCTCCTCTTCCTCAACAATCTCTGCTAGCCTTCCCTCTCCTCTTCCTCAACAATCTCTGCTAGCCTTCCCTCTCCTCTTCCTCAACAATCTCTGCTAGCCTGCCCTCTCCTCTTCCTCAACAATATCTGCTAGCCTGCCCTCTCCTCTTCCTCAACAATCTCTGCTAGCCTGCCCTCTCCTCTTCCTCAACAATCTCTGCTAGCCTGCCCTCACCTCTTCCTCAGCAATCTCTGCTAGCCTGCCCTCTCCTCTTCCTCAACAATCTCTGCTAGCCTGCCCTCTCCTCTTCCTCAACAATCTCTGCTAGCCTGCCCTCTCCTCTTCCTCAACAATATCTGCTAGCCTGCCCTCTCCTCTTCCTCAACAATCTCTGCTAGCCTGCCCTCTCCTCTTCCTCAACAATCTCTGCTAGCCTGCCCTCACCTCTTCCTCAGCAATCTCTGCTAGCCTGCCCTCTCCTCTTCCTCAACAATCTCTGCTAGCCTGCCCTCTCCTCTTCCTCAACAATCTCTGCTAGCCTGCCCTCTCCTCTTCCTCAACAATCTCTGCTAGCCTGCCCTCTCCTCTTCCTCAACAATCTCTGCTAGCCTGCCCTCTCCTCTTCCTCAACAATCTCTGCTAGCCTGCCCCTCTCCTCTTCCCTCAACAATCTCTGCTAGCCTGCCTCTCCCTCTTCCTCAACAATCTCTGCTAGCCTGCCCTCTCCTCTTCCTCAACAATCTCTGCTAGCCTGCCCTCTCCTCTTCCTCAACAATCTCTGCTAGCCTGCCTCTCCTCTTCCTCAACAATCTCTGCTAGCCTGCCCTCTCCTCTTCCTCAACAATCTCTGCTAGCCTGCCCTCTCCCCTTCCTCAACAATCTCTGCTAGGCCCCATTCATCCGACGCCGCAATTCCGTGAAGAGCCCCTCGATGATGATCGTCAAGAAGAGTGGCGCGTCGGGGTCCAACAAGAAGAAGGTGACCATTTTCTAACCTTGCGCTAAATTTATGCAAATTCAGCTCATCAGCAAGGAGGCCACTGGCCTGCCGGGACCGCTGAAGGCCGAAGAGCAGGCGTCGCAGGAGTCGCTGAAGGCCCAGCTGACTGAATTGTGGGTTTCGGCTTTGGCGACGCACGTACCTTACACCTTCAGCTGGTCGCTGGTGGACGAGTCGGTGGTGAACCGCGAGTACTTCCACGGCTACTTCACGAAGCACTACCTCGCCAAGATCTTGCAGTTGCCCGGCGACTACGTGTGCGGCATCGTGCCCGTCATCACCGAGCAGAAAGGGGTAAATTCGACCGCGGACACTGCTAGCCTGCCCTCCTCAAAGAACCTCTGCTAACCTGCCTGATTTAGCTGCGTCTGGAGGGCGGCATCGGGCTCTACGTCGGCTACCAGGACATCCGCTTCGTCCCGATCCGGTTCAGCGAGGTGAGGCAGAACTCTCTCTCGCTCTCTCTCTCCCTCTCTCTCTCTCTCTCTCTCTCTCTCTGTCTCTCACTCCGCTACTTCCAGAAAACGCGCCACTACTACCTGGAAGGCGGCCGCGTCTCCAAGCCGACCATCCACGAGCTCATCTCCGATCACGCGTGCGGCGGCGCCGGCATCTCGATGCGATTCGAGGGCGGAAGTCGCCTCGCTTTCCTCCAGCGCTCCATCCGACGAGCCGTAGGAATCGATTACGCAGTGGAATTCAAGCCTCCGAATTCTAGCCCTATCTCCTCCCCCACAAACGCATCCAGCTGCACGACAAGATTGGTGGTGGAAACTTTGGGCTGGTTCGTTCCTGAGTGGTTTCTGCTAGCCTGCCCTCAGCTCTTCCCCAACAGTCTCTGCTAGCATGCCCTAAACACCTTTTTTTAGGTCTACATCGCCTCCCTCCTCGAAAACGGCCGTCGCAGCGAGGTCGCCGCCAAGATCTTCAAGCCGTCCACCCTCAGCCTCGACCCGAACGCCAACCGGACCAAGGACATCACGCAGCACAAGATGTTCCTCGACGAGGCCTACGTCATGTGGCAGCTCAACCACCCGAATATTGGTGGGATCTGCATGACTCCTCAAGGATCTCTGCGAGCCTGCCCGTTCCCGACGAGAATCCGAATTTCCAGTCCAATTCTACGGCATCTGCTCCCTCAGCCCGGCGCTGACGATCGTCATGGAGTGCTGCAAGGGGGGCAGCGTTCGGAGCGTAGCGTTGCGTAGTCATGGTGATTTATCAGCTTTTCCAGTACCTGCAGAAGCACGGCGAGGGCGTCGGATTTGCCGTCAAGGTGAAGAAGAAGCCTAAGCCTATGCTAGCTACAAACTACACCTCTAGACACGGTTCGCCATCGAGGCGTGCGAGGGACTCGGCTACCTGGCCCGGCGCGACTTTGTCCATCGCGATGTCGCCTCCCGGAACTGCCTGCTCACCGAGCAGCTGGTGGTGCGAATTCCTCAAATAGTCTCTGCTAGCCCGCCTTTTCCAGCTGAAAGTGGCCGATTTCGGCCTCACCGTCGACGTCGACTCGCTGCGCCGCCGTGAGCACGAGCAGAACGGCATGGTGCTCCCGATAAAGTGGGCCTCGCCCGAGGTATTTTTCAGGGAGCGTGACAGTGTCATCCCTACCCTTTAGGTCCTCCGCAGCGGCGAGTTCTCGTGGGCGAGCGACGTGTGGGCGTACGGGGTGATGCTGTTCGAGTTCTACAACGAGGGCCGCGAGCCGTACCCGGGGCTCCGGAATAGGGTCGTCCGCGAGGAGCTGCTCAAGGGCCAGCAGTTCCGCATGGAGCTCCCGAATAATGTGGGCAAGCTAGCAGAGATTGTTGAGGAAGAGGAGAGCGAATTTACTTTGAATAAAACCATCCCTTCTTCAGATCCCACCCCCGATCCGCGGGCTGATGGCCAAATGCTGGGCGGAGGAGCCGCTGAAGCGCCCGAGCTTCTCCGTGCTCGCCGACGAGCTCGACAAGATCCGCCGCGGCGTCTACGAGGAGCACACTTCCTGAACTCGCTGCTGCCGTCGCCCCGTCACCTTCGCCAAATTAACATTACAAAAAGTCACTTCTCTGTTAAAAAATACTTGTCCTTTCACACGCGTCATTCTGTCGATAAAACTGTATCGCTTGCCCTCTTCTTGCTTTTTGCGTTGTGATTTTCGTCTTACTGGTTTTCGAGGCCGAATAAAGATTGCAAAGGGAATTTACTCGGGAAAAGTTCTTACAAATTTATCGTTCACCTTGAAAGACCATCTAAAAACTTTCAAAATGTTTTAAAAAGTCGATATTTTGGTCAGAAATCGTCCTCTTCTGGTCGGAAAAATCGATATTTTTTCTTCCACATTTGTGAAGTTTTCGCCTTTAGGAATAGTAAAACGGTCAAAACTGCTTCCAATATTTATAATTAAAAAAAATATATCCGAAGAAAAAAACTTGAAAAAACGCTTTGCAGGCACCTTTTAATCGTTTTTTCTCAGTTAGGCCATGATCTCAGACACTTGTAACTGCAACAACGCCTTTTATAATTATTTTCCGATGTTCTAACATTTTTTTGGGGTCGTGTTGGGCAGCCAATTGTTGTTGACCTCGAGTGCGGCGGCCATTCTTCTTGACCGCGCGGCGTTGGAGTGGTCAAGCGTACACGAGGCTCCAATGTACCCGTGAACCCAGTGCGCTGCCTGCCAAATGAAACGCCAAGGCTGAAAGTGGGGGTCAAGAGCCGGAATGCCCGGTCAGCACTGCTCAAAATTGCATAAGAAGCGGAAAGGCTTATCCTGGGGTGCTTTTTCTGTAGTTTATTTCCTTCCAAATTGATTAGAGAGCAATCTCCGCTTATTTTTGATACCTAAACCCCATCGTATTATGACGTAAAAACTTATGGTTTCCGGAATTACAAAAGTAGAATTTACCTAGAAAGTAGTTTAACAATGCGAGAACAGCTATGTGTGTGTCGCTGGTGAGCTGAAACCAGTTGGCGATTTTAACTCTTTGATTTCCCTTCCTTGTTGTTGGCGAGGAGATATTTAATTTTGCTAGGGTCAAATTAAACACGTGTTTTCGAGATTAGAAAAAGCAGAAATTTATTTCTCAACGTTATTGTTCGTTTAGTACATCTTTAAATGGGACCAATGCGCAGTTAGATGACCGTTTCACGATTATTCCGCTTGCTTTTCTGCGCTCTTTACGATGAGTCTTTTCATTTTATCGTAATGCAATTATACGCGCTGTTACTCCCAAAATACCGAAATTTGTTGTAAAAATGGACTATGTTGTAAAAACTACGTCTATCGCCATTATTTCCATCATGCGCTCTTTTCGATGACTCATCCCGCTATCAGTCGATTCCCCACTTGCCGCAAGATTCCCGTAAAATCTATCTGAAAGCTTGTGAGCCCTGCCAAGATCTTGGGTCTTTTATTCTGAATTGGATGATGACCTTTGTGGTCATCATTTGTGACCTTTTTCTTTGTGGATTTTGGAAGAAATCATTACACTATTCCTTTCAGGTTTTACACGACTCCAACACTTCTCAACATGAGCAAGAGCGCCCCCATGTACTCTGACGCCGACCCCAACATCTCGATCGTCATCTCGAAGCGTGGCCCCGCGCCGAAGACGCTGAAATCTCAGGTATTTTTCAGCAAAATTAAATTTCGGGTTTTTTTCTTGGAATTTCTGATCATTTTCTAAATCCGCCCTTTTTCAGTCGGCCGTCAACGCCGCTCTTCGCGCCGGCGCCGCCGTTGAGACTCAAAAGAAGATGGCCGTCTCGGCCAACCGGCAGCATACTTCCAACAAGGTACAATTTCCGCTAGTTTACAAAATTATTGTATGTAGAACACCCTACACCTTGACGAAGAGACCGAGGAGCTGCACCACGACCGAGTCTCCCTCAACCTCGGCAAGGTTGGTTTCGATTCTCGATTTTAGGCCTATTTTTAGGTCATGCAACAAGCCCGCGCCACGAAGGGCTGGACCCAAAAAGACCTGTCCACCAGGATCAACGAGAAGCCGCAGGTTCGACTAGTTCCTCTAGGTTAAAATGTTTTTCTCTTTTTTTAGGTGGTGGCCGAGTACGAGAACGGCAAAGCCGTCCCTAATCAACAAATCATGAACAAGCTCGAGCGAGCCTTGGGCGTCAAGCTGCGCGGCAAGGTGAGCGTCCTGGAAATTATCACTATTGTTTTCCAGGACATTGGACAGCCGCTGGCAGTGGGCCCCAAAAAATAAATGGCGAGGGATGACCGGAGCACGGATAGGGGTGAGTTACCTTTTTGCACGTTTGTTTAGGGAAATTTCCGGTTATTTGTATTATCGGAGAAAGAGACCGAATGTTTTTCTATTAGCCTAAAAAATTCCTACTAACTTAATAAGACGTATTTTAAGCGTATCTAGTAATTTTTAAGCTTAACGATTAAAACAATTGCTACTAAGTTACTAGCCGATTCTAGACTAATACAAAAAAGTTAGGTCCCCCGAAAATGCGTAGGAACCAAAAAAGTATACTTTTTAGGTCCACAACCCGCACCATCAAGATGCCTATCGCGCGCGCCAAACGCTCGACCACCACCCGGATTCGTCAACCTAACCAAAAACCCTCTGCGATAACACACAGCCCTCTATTTTGTTGTGGCCTTTTTCAAGTGGCGATTCAGTCGCGCGCGTTTGCTCTGCCTTATCCCGTTTGTGTTTGATATATCCGTGTCTCTGGTCATTCCTCTTGCCTCAAGTCTTCTGATTCCCCCGTGCGCCTGCCCCGAGCCCGCCATTGTTGTAGTCAAGTCTCCCGATATCACACCAATCGCGTATCGATCCGTTTCCTAATTTTGTTGAATTTTACCATATACGCGTCCTTTTTGCTGCGGGCTTTCTCCTCCACCACCACACTGTTCGTTATATTTTCGTGTGTTCTTCTGTTGTGTTCTCCGGGGAGCGCGCCTTTTGTTTATAAATGTATTGAATGAATAAATTGCAGGTAGTCGTCGGCGGAAGATTGGACTGCTTGGGGCTGTGCGGCGAACCGATCGCGAGCGATGGTCGTGCAGTCGGGCCAGCGGCTGGAGTTCCGCTTCCAGACCAACACCGTGCAGCACCTGCTTGCTGATCTGATCCGAGATGTGGGTGCTTTAGGGGGAATTTGGCGGTTTTTGGGAAGGCGAGGCCACTGATTTGATAATTGTACCTGAGCGGGTTTCCTCGAAACTCGCCACGACAATTTCGGCACGTGTTTGACCAAAACCTCGGATTTTGCCAGTAGAGTTAAAAGGCCGGGAGCTATTGATGTTTGGGGGGCATCTTTTTTTGGCGGCCTAGGTCTAGGCTTAAGCTTAGCTTTAAATTTGCGTACGCTTGGCTGAGACTTAGCTTATGCCTAGGCTTGGCTTAGGCTTAGGCTTAGCTTAGGCCTAGGCTTGGTTTCGGCTTAGCTTAGGCTTAGTGTAGGCTTACATTAGGCTTCGCCTAGCCTTAGCTTAGACTTAGCCTAGAGCTAGCTTAGGATTAGCTTAGACTTGGGCTTAAGCCTAGTCTCGGCTTAGGCTTGGCTTAGGCTGGGCTTGGCTTGGTTAGCTTAGGCTTTGAGACAAGCTTAGGCCGGAAAAAGCCCCTAAAAAAAGATGCCCCCCCCAAACATCAATAGCTCCAAAGGCCGTTTGCGGGTGGACCGAAATAGGCTTGGCACAGTTTTTTTCGACCCTGTTTTTTTGACAGCATCGGATAGAGCATAGTCGAATTAGTAGGGCTGCATAGTTTTGAAAGTTTAAAAAGTTAATTTTTAGTGTTTAAATGGGCCTCAAAGTTGCCAACCCCGAAAAACTATCTCGAAAGCTACTGCACCGAATTTGCTGAAAAATTGTGGCAATACCTAATTTGGGATGGCGATCATTTCTCTAATACATCGCAAAGCGCTAAAATAACGCAGCAACGGCTAAATCGAAAGTAAAACCAGTTTTTCGAGGTTTCGAATTTTTAGTATTCCGAGCGCAACTTGAAACTAGCATAGAAAGATGCGCAGATTTTCTGCACGATTGGTGTATCGTTTAGCTTGCGCTAGGAATACTAATATTGAAAAAAAATCGCGATTTGTAGGCGAAAAACGCGGAAAAAATGTCCCATAAAAATACAAATTTGTTAATTTTGTTAATCTGAGGTATCAAAACGCATCTAGAAGCCAAGCCGAAGCGATTGCAAAAAAGAGCAAAAAGAAATTCGGCTTCTAAGAGGGGGCCGGGATTGAACTAGCGGCGGCTCTGGATTGGTACGCGGACGCTCTACTCATTGCGCCACAGGGCTCCCAGGCGGAGGGTCCGGGTTCGATTCCGCGATTTCGAAAGAAAGGAAATTTCTTTTTGCTCTTTTTTGCAATCGCTTCGGCTTGGCTTCTAGATGCGTTTCGATAGCTCAGATTAACAAAATTAACAAATTTGTATTTTTATGGGACATTTTTTCCGCGTTTTTCGCCTACAAATCGCGATTTTTTCAATGTTAGTATTCCTAGCGCAAGCTAAACGATACACCAATCGATTCAGAAAATCTCGCGCATCTTTCTATGCTAGTTTCCAAGTTGCGCTCGAATACTAAAAATTCGAAAATCTCGAAAAACTGGTTTTACTTTTCGATTTAGCCATGTTGCGGTTATTTTAGCGCTTTGCGATGTATTAGAGAAATGATCGCCATCCCAAATTAGGTATTGTCACAATTTTTCAGCAAATTCGGTGCAGTAGCTTTCGAGATAGTTTTTCGGGGTTGGCAACTTTGAGGCCCATTTAAACACTCAAAAATTAACTTTTTAAACTTTCAAAACTATGCAGCCCTACTAATTCGACTATGCTCTATCCGATGCTGTCAAAAAACAGGGTCGAAAAAACTGTGCCAAGCTATAATGGGGACTGTTCGAGGTGACC